CCCCCCCCCCCCCCCCAAACCGCCCCAAACAGAAAAACAAGGAAAGGAAGAAACAAATAATAACACGCATGCACACATATGCACACAGATGTGAGCATCGAATAACAAAAAAAGAAAAAAGGAAAAAAAAAAAAGAAAAATGAAAAAGAAAAAAAGAAAAAGAGAAAAGAAAAAAAGAAAAAGAGAAGAGAAAAAAAAGAACGGGTGTAAGGCCACGAATAGACAACTGCGAGCTGGAAGGAGAGGAGAGGAGAGGAGAGGTGGTGAGTTAATAAATATCTTTCCGAGGGCATAAGCGCACTACCGTCTTCCCCCGAACACAACGCACCCTGATTACGAAAATGCGTGCATACAAACAGTCACACGATACACGAAGAGGGTGAATTGCGTTGTATTCGGAGGAACAGACAGAAGGTACATTTCCCGAACGTACTTGCCAACAATCACGGCCAGATTCAGAGAGTCATCTGACTGGTACACCGAACTTGGTCAAACGCCTCAAAAAGTACTTACGCGGTCCAGGTCTCCTCTGGTGGAAAGAAAGATAGTCCACTGCTGCACACCACTCGTGGCGGGAAATTCTGACGTCCACAAATAATGGCGCGAAGCATGGATAAGGATGCATTGATAATGGCGGGAAAATCGATTGAGAATGCATTGCACCTGGCAGTGATTTCGAAGGCGAGAGAAAAAGTCAGATAAACGAATGGATAGCGTCGGGATACCGAATGACGGAGGGATAACCATCACCACCTGGGCGATCTTGATGAATCGGACACCGAGGCGATGATCATGATGATGATACTAATGATGAGCGGGTAACTATTGGACCAACCAAACCTGGATGCAACGGATAATCATGGAGATTATAATGGCACCAGATACGCCAACAAGGAAACGGATAATCAAAATGCGCAACAACAATAATCCAACGGATAATATGAAACCAACAGAAGATAATAGTAATAGTAATCCGCAAGCATCGAATGGGCCTCGCTCCACTACTCTCGACTTGCACAAACGCGACTAAAATCATGCCGGTATATCTTTCCATGTTCTAGCGGAAGATCCAGTAGCCTCCTGCAACGCATAATGTGAAAACCAACAAACGACAAAATCCAACGGATAATTCGTTCGCGATTCCTCTTCGTATCCAGATCATGTACATGTAATCTATGATTGCATTGTTTAATGATTGGACACATGTCAGATAGCAACTTGAACTTCGCCATGCTGCTTGTCACTATTCACTAATAATGCGCAAGCATATAATACAACGGATAATGTGAAACCAACAAAAGGCTAAAATCAAACGGATAAGGAAACGGATAAACAAGTAATAATGCGCAAGCATATAATGCAACAACACTAAACGATAAAATCGAACGGATAAGGAAACGGATAAGGAAACGGATAAAGAAACGGATAAGGAGACGGATACAGATTAAAGAAGGGTCAGAGAAACCGTACACGTTGGTCCGTACACGTTGGTCAATCTGCAGATCGACGGACGGATACAAAATAAAGAGAGATAAGACTGGGAAACGTTCAATGTACATGGACCACATACAGTAGTTATATGCTCCCTCAATAACCAAATCCCATCCAGTTTAATTTAAAAAAAACGAATCCCAATCTGATCCAATCCAATCTAATACTAGTAGTAATCTAATCGAATCTTAATCCAATCCAATCCGATCGAATCGGAAGCTAATCGGATCTTAATCCAATCAAATCCAATCGAACCTAATCGAAGAACCTAATCGAAACTTAATCCAATCCAATCGAATTTCATCTAATCTGACGAGAAATGGAATGGCCGGGGGTAAAAAAAAAAAAAAAAAAAAAAAACTAAAATCGAATCGACGGATGGGATTATTCGCGTTGGAAGTCGTCAGATTGACTACGGTAGCTGCTGCGTAAGTTACGTGACGCAATTACGTCGTCCTTACCTGGATGAATCTGACCATAATCACGTCCGTCCTGGTTGTCATTTGACCCAGTAAGGGCGGCATACACTCACACCAGCAAGCAGTTTCCTTAATGTATCTCAGAGGAATTGCGTCGTCCTTACCTGGACGCATCTGACCGTAATCACGGCCAGAGGTCAGTCGAAAATGTCCTAGTGCGAGTATGCCCTAAATTGTCAGCCGGCGGGATACGAAAGAAAACCGGTGGTTCACAAAAGTGCGGCGGGACCACAAATGTCGCGCTGCGCTGCCGCATTTTCGAGCTGCTGGTCTGAGGGCCTACTCGCACTAGTATACTACCTTAGGTTAAATGTATCTGACCGCGTTTACGGCCGGACCTGGATGAATCGGACCGCAATTACGCCCAGAAACTGAGCAAAACGGTCCTCGTGTGAGTATAATGCCCTGAAATTGGCTCATCAAGCGAGAACGACTTTCCAAATCAGCGGTAAAGGTTTTTCCAACTGGCCGGCTGCAGAAATTTTACGTTCAGGAAAAAAAAAAAAAAAAAAAAAAAAAACAAAGAGATCACGTACGTGAAAGCGCCCTATCAGTTTCTCAGAGTATACTCGCACTACCGGTAGGCCCTCAAAAACGCAGTGAGGGACTCAATCTGGCCGCTGATTTTGCCATTCTGTGATTTTGAGGATCTACCGTAGTGTGTGTGTGTGTGAGTATATGCCTCCGGATCTGAAAAGCCTACTTCGCCCCTCAACGGTGAGATCATGCTCATCAACCTCACGGTGCAACCTCGTCATATTCGCGGCTCGCCGACGTGCTTGTCATGTTCACATCGCTTGTAGTAGAACTCTCTCTCTCTCTCTCTCTCTCTCTCTCTCTCTCTCTCGCTCTCGCTCTCGCTCGCTCGCTCTCTTCCCAATGTAGCACAGCACCGCGACCAGATTCAGACGCTATATGCGTGTGAACCATCGAGTCATAATCACCTGCTCAGCTTCTGCTCTCGAGCAATGCCCTGCTTACGAGCTTCTGCAATATAGCGCAAAAAAAATCCCCTGCTGATGAGAGTTTCTCTGCTATACGCGGTCACCGCCTGCGTGCTGTCCTACACTCCTCGACTGTGCGAGCCATCGCTCGCATGCTTCTGCTTCTTAGCCTCACAGCCTAGTGGAGGACACACTAGCACCAAAGTAAGCTACCTTGTTTTTAACACATTCCCAATAATGGGATATGGTTTTGTCCCCCCCCTCTTCCTATTTTGTTCACGTAAGTGGGCTACTAAAGCAAACTGTTTCCACAGTCAAGCGATGTGAAGACTTGTGCAGCGAAAAGTTTATTACTGTAATTGACGTAGTAATTGGTTTGTAAACTGTATACGTGATATTCGATTTTTGTGCGGGGTGAAATTGAGATTCAGTAAATTGTTCGTCAGATGGATTACTATATTTATCAAGTGAAAAAAAAAAGAAAAAAAAAAAACTATATTTATCAAGTGAACTTGAGAAACATACATCCTTTTTTTTTTTTTTTTAAGCTGCCTTCTCGTCATCGGGGGACATCCATATATTTTTCTCTCACCTCACATATTTTAAACTGGCGTCCTGCCATGTCATCATCATGGAACATACATCTGATTGATAATTAATGCTGCGACATTGATACATTCCTGTTCGGGAAAGGAGTTTCGTAACGAAAACAGTTGCTGGGTCTATATCGAGTATCCCCATCCTGTTGCAGATGGAATTTAAAAAAAAAAAAAAAAAAAAAAAAATGGAAAAAAACTTGATTACGGGCCGCGTCGCACAACCCACCAAACGTGAGAAAAAGAAAACTATGACGGGTGGATGTTTCCACGTTCTAGCGGAAGATACATTCTCCCCCTCAGTTCTTGCTACAGGAATTGCAACATCACCAACAATCCGGACCAACGATCCCGACCAACGATCCCGACCAACGATCCGGACCAACAATCGGCACCAACGATCGGGAGACGCAATTACCGTGAATCACGATCCCGAATCACGATCCCGATCCCGATCCCGATCCACCAACCCTGAAACCGAGCCTAAGTAAGGAGCGCGACTGAACTTTTAGGCTCGGTGAGAGGCTCGGTGAGAGGCTCAAAATGACACAGTATTACCGTTAATTCCATGCAGTTATAAACCTTGAAATGAAATACTCCTGTCCACTAATCAGAGTCGGGGGGGGGGGGGGGGTTGGGGTAATCAAAATAGTGGGGGGGGTTTAGAGGTTAGCCTACCGTTTTGCCCCAGAACACAGCGCCCCCTCGTCATGACCGAATCGGACCAGAAAGACAGCTCGTATACAGTCATGCTGAGGGGTTTTAGACGTAATCACAGTCGAGTGGGGGGTTTAAGGGTTTCCCTACCGTCTTGCGCCGAAAACAACCCACCCTCGTCACGACTGTACCGGACCAGAAAGATAGCTAGTCTACATTCATGATTATGGGTTTTAGAGGTAATCACAGTAATAGGGGGTTTAGAGGTTTCCCTACCGTCTTGTCCCGAAGAATATGCAAGGTCGTCGTGACTGTATCGGACCAGAAAGATAGCTAGTATACATTCATGATGAGGGTGCGTTCAGCTCGGGCAGAATATGGTGGTTGTCAGCTGTGCCATTCGTCACCTATCAAAACTCAGATTTAAAATTTGATGACAATTTCGAGGGAAAGGGAAAAAAAGGAAATGGAGTTCACTATAGTCCCTCAAAAAAGGGGAAAAAAAGGTTGAAGAAAGGGGGGGGGGGGGGGGGGGGGGGGGGGGGAAGAGGGAGGGACAAAAGAAGCATTGTGTACTAGTCAGCTGTGCCATTCACTGAGTAGGCGACAAGCCCGTAAAAGGTTGGATAAAGGAAAAACGAGAAAAAACAAAAATCCTTAACGAAGCTGTAAAAGGGTGATGCCGCACAGGTTTCTCACGGCACATTCACACTAAGACATTCTGGATGAATAGGGCCGAAATTGTGGACAGATTCTCTTTGAAGAGTCCTGGTGCGAGTAAGTCGACGTATATAATCTAAGCAAAAAAGACAGCTGAAGCGCACATGGGGAAGGCTGAGTGATCAGAGCAGTACCACGTTCTGCAATAGTAAATTCTGACAGACTGTAAGAGAAAGACACAGCGAGAGAGACAGAGACACAGAGAGAGAGAGACAAAGTCAGAGACAGAGACAGAGAGACGGAGAGACCGACAGACAAAAGTAGACAGATAGACACACAAAA